ACTTAATTTTTGTCTAAAATTACCAAACTTCTTAATAATTTTTTGGTAAAACATTTGTTGAGTATGCTTACGGGATACCCAAGTAAAAAAGACTTCGTGACCATTTTCATGATAGTGAGGTTCTTTTCCGTGATGGTTATCAAATAATACTCTTTCGCCAGGATTATCCCGATTAAAGGCTAATCATTTAAAATAATAGCCTTGGGGAAATTCCGGTTTAGTAGTTAATAATTTTATCAACCTTATCTCAATAAAGATCTTTTTGCCTGAACTCATCAGAAATTCATCTTGGCGGTGAAATTTAGAAAGGACTTCTTCATCCATAAGTATATTTTATAAAAGTTAGAAAGAAATCTTTTTTTTAGTTAACTATAATTTAACTAAATGGTTATTTGTTAACTGGCTGGTTAACAATAATATCATTTACAGCAAAAAAACCGTTATAGCGGTAGCGGTAAAAATAATCTCGTTTTTGTTTAGGAACCGTGGAGAAAAAATTTTCCCGGTCTTCTTCATATCATTTAACTAAGCAAGAACGGCAGAGATATTGATATTTGAGGTTTTTAAGTTGGGATTGATCGCTGATGTTGGCTCAAAAGGCGACACTATTGAGGGGGGATCATTGTTGTTTGACCCGGTTTCATTTGCGTTGGATGAGTTGGTGGCAACGAGAGCAGGGGAGGAGGGGGGAGGTTGTTGGCATGATAGTGATTTATATAATATAAGAATATAATAATAATTTTAGCAATTAGTTAATCATTGATAAATATATAATAAAATTATAATATAGTTGATTAAATGATAGTTAAATAGTTGAAATATTAAAAATAACTAGTTAAATGACAACAATTATCGCATTTATTTCTCAAAAAGGCGGAGTCGGAAAAAGCACTCTATCTCGTGCTTTGGCAACTGAAGCCAGTAAAGAAAAGATGAAAGTATTGTTAGCAGATTGCGACCCTCAACAAGGAACTAGTCACAACTGAAACAAAATGAGAAACGATAAAAAAATTGTTAGCCGAATGTTTAATTCGCCCTGAGAAATTTGACCCTTAATTAATGATTATAATTTAGTGATTATTGATGGACCCGCCCGGACTAGTAAAAGCACCTTAGAAATTGCCACCAAGGCGAATCTAATAATCCAGCCAACCGGTCCCAGCGTAGATGATTGTGAGCCGGCTGTGAAAGAATTTCACGCCTTAAAAGAAGCCGGCATCGAAAAAAAAAAATTATTGTTTGTCTTGAATCATTTAACTACCACTGGTGAGGAAATAAATGCCCGAGCATATTTAACTCAGGCTGGTTATTCAGTGTTAAATACTGGTTTAACTGAAAAAGCTTCTTATCGGCAGGCACAAAACCAAGGTTTAGCGATTACGGAAGTTATTTATGAGAAATTAAAAAAGCAGGCTCAAAAATTAATTGATGAGATATTGACTAAATTGTAGAATACTAGTAAATAGTATTCTAATTAATAAAAAATAAGAAAATTGTAAATATAAATCATATGAATAAGTGAGATAAAATAAAAAGTAGAAAGCCTAAAACTACCATGCCAGCTCCGCCCACTGAGGCCAGCAGAAATCTCTCCCAAGCAGAAATTCCCTACGAGAAGATGGATTTTCGGCACTTTCGTAATCGTAGTAATCGAACAGTTCTTTTTGCTTGTAAAATCACTCCTAATTTAGACCAAACTATTCGCCGCCTATCTCTCCAAGAAAACCGCATGATTGTAGAAATATTTGAGGAAGCACTTGATTTTTATTTAAAAAATAAAGGAATAAATATGAGTGATGATAATACACATAAGAGAGAGAGAGAGAGAGAGAGAGAGAGCAAAATCAGCAAATCTGCGAAAAAATAAGGCAAATGCTATCTAAAAAAAATGATTATGGATAATTTTTTTATTTTATAGTTAACTAACTTATAACTAAATGGTTAATAATTAGTTATATAATAAGTAACATAATCTCCTAAAACTACGATCTAACAAATTATGTAAATAAGAAAGTAAATATGTCAATAACAAAATCTTCAAAAGACCCAAAATTCTCCAACAACTATAACCAAATAATTAAAACCCTAAGCCTAATCCTAGACACAGAAACCAATAACAAAAAATCAAAACAATTAGAAAAACTAATTAGTGAACGAGACAAAACAGATGGTGAAAAGAAAACCAAAGATGGTGAAATAAGCAAGGCAAATGACGAAAGAAAAAAACTCTTAAACATTGCTTCTTATGTTCGAGAAATAGAAAAAGAAGAAACTCGCCTCAATACTAACTCTACCACTCACAATCCTCGGATGAAAAACTTCCTAGGCACCGGAGGAACTAAATGACGCACGAATGGTTGATTAGCCAATGCGACTAATCATTTTACCCCCAGTAGTGGTCAACTGGATAATCTTTACAAAATCAAAGTTAACAACTCCGAAGTAGAAACCACCGAAGAACAAATAATCAGCACTATTGCTTATATAGTCCAGGCTCTTAAAAATGTAGATGCCGCAGATTTCACCGCTAAGTATAACGCTAAGCAAAGCGATAGCAGTAAGCAAACTAAGGTCAAAGACTATTTAACCCGCCTCCAACAGCAAGAAATAATTGTTGGTAGTGATAAAGATAGTGCAGGCAACAAAAAACAGCCATCTTATGACTTTGCTTCTACTTACCAAAAATATGACAAATCTACTAACACTTGAACTACTTACACCTCACCCACTTTCAACTATCAAGAATTCTTCGAGTTCATAGAATTAGTTCACCAGCAACCTTTTTTAAAAGATTTAGATGCTGACAAACAAAAACAGGTCCCGCAGAGCGGAAATTGACCAATCCACTTAAAAGGCGAAGCCTATTCAGCAGAGCAATTAAAAGATTATGGCATTAATATTGACCCTGCTAAAACCACTCTTTATAAAACCGATTCAGAAAAGCAAACCCTAGCAGTCGGAACAGGAATTGGCGGTTGACTAGAACTAGCCCACTCAATTACTTACTCAGATGACAACAAAACCAAACTCCAAGTCGCCTTCACCAATTCCCCTACTCAACAACTATTAGAGGATTTAAAAACCTGAACTTTAGATAACGGAATGGTGACAGACGGAACTTACACTCTCCCGGAAAGTTTAGACAGCATCCAAGTAGTAAAAGACCAACTAGAAATGGAAAAACTGGGAGCCGCAGTTAAATTAATCGAACTTAAAAAGACTATTGAAGATAAAACCCAAGAAAGAAATACTAAACAGGGGGAAATTACTGCTAAAGAAACTGCTATTGACGCTTTAATTAAAGAGATAATTGCTAAAAAACGCGAAACATTAGCTTCTTATAACCTAAGTAAAGGCTTCGCTAAAACCACCGAGGATAATCGCCGAGAATGATTAGAACTCTTAAAAATTAAGCAACTACTTTTAGAAATTCGCTACTTAGAAAATGATGGCGATGCTACCGCTAATAGTTCAGTAACTGAGGAAAATACAGCTTTAACTGAAATTGAAAGCATAAGAAACAAACTTCTGGTTGGTAATCTTGATTACTTTTTAGTGGATACTTTCCTCTTTTTGGCTCTTGCTGGTGATAGTAAATTGGATATCCAACAAGCCATCTCCCGGGTGAAGGCAGGCAAATATACCGAGGATGATAAAGAACATGACACTTCTATTTATGGGGGATTAGCCCGGTTCAAAACCCACTTTGAAAATAAACAAAACTTAGTCAAATTAAACGATTGAGAACTAGAAGCCAAAAAAGCTATTGAAAAAGCAATCAACCAAGAAGATAATATAAATGAAAATTTAACTGATTGACAAACAAAATTAAAAGCCTTAGACTCCACTCTAGATGAAACTCTAATTACTGAAACCTGAAAAACTAAATGAGGCCAAGTA